GGGGATGAAGCGCAGAATGTATGGCTTGTGTTTCGATCTGGGTCATAACAAATAGGCAAGAACGGGCGAAACACGATTGTCCATACTTAAACCATCTATTTGAAGAAAATGCTCGTTGTTGAAAATGAAGTTGGTTTTAGTTGTTGTAAATTTTAAGAGAGAAGCAAAAAGTGTGCTGGAGATATGGATTAATTTGTTGGGGTCATTAATGTAGATGTCGAGTGCAATATTGCAAGCTTCATTGGCGGGGACTTCGGTGAAGAGTGACACGACATCAAAACTAGCCATTAAGGCTTTCAAATGTAGTTGGTCTAGTGTATATTTGAAATTGAAGGCATCTTTAAAAAAGGAACCTGCAGATGTTACATATGGTGTGAGAGCCCAAGCTATGTATTTGCCAAGATTGTAGTTGAATGAATCATAAGTGGACAGTATAGGTCGTAGGGGGCAGTCCTGTTTGTGTCGTTTAGGAATGCTATAGAGTTGTGGTGTGCGTGAATCAGTTTTACGTAGATAAAAATAAAGATCGTCAGTATTTAAATTATCTTTTTTCATTTGTAATAAAGTTATGTTTAATATTTTTCGTGTGTGTTTGTTGGGTTGTTTGGGATGGCTTTGAATTTATTTTTATCGGAAAGGATGTCGTTCATTTTATTGATGTATTCTGAATTGTTCATGATGACAGTGGTGTTGCCTTTATCAGCTTTTAGAATTTTAATGTTAGTGTCCTTTTTAAGATTATAAATGGATTTGATCTCTATAATTGTGAGGTTACTTTTCAGTTTACGGGACTGGTTGACTATATTAATAGTCTTGTTTGAAAATTCTTTAAAAAAGTTATTTAGAATAACGAAACGTTATACATTTGCTGTTATGTTAAACTTATATTAAAGTTTTTCTACATTACCCATTCAAGCCGTCTCTAACCATTATTAGTCTTAAAGTGGTTTCCTCGTCATCGAATTTGAATACAATAAATAACTTATCCAATATGATATTACCTAGAGAGATAATATTAGGTCGAGATCATCGAAGAACAGTAGTTGTTGACATGTTTTCTGACAGTAACAAGAAACAAAGCTCATATTATGTTCAATAATGGTTAAATGACTTTGGCCATAATACATGTAATTGGTAGTTTTAATAGGTAGGGACCCTGTAATTTTTGGACGAGCAAGGAGATAATATTCATAGTAAATACTGATCTACGATTCCAATGTATTAACATACCACTAATGTGTCCTGAAGGATTGCATTCTCCACAATTATCTAGAATCCAGCCGCTATTTGGAACACCATCACAACCAACACATTCGTTGTTGCCATTACATACACCACAGAGATCTTGTCCGAAATCTGATGGTAATCCCGTATTTCCTCCGACACAATGACCACAACTGTAGAATAATGAAATAAATATTTAAATATATCAACTTTGTAAATAAATGCATAAGTGCTGCTAATACTTATCATTACCACTCATAATTCATATATAATGTTTCGAAGTAAATAAAGTATGTGTAATCATACTTTACCAATACTCACCATTAGAAAATTACTGAAAACATTATCATTGTAATTTTTTATTATATATTAATACTTACTTTCAAACATAATGGAAACATTAAAGAGCATTTATTCAAAATGCATCTTACTAATAAACCTATTTCAGGTTTTTGATCAGAGCAATAACACCGACAGACCAAACTTTACAAATTGTGGCTTGAAATATATTAGTTGTTCAGGTAACAGATAGAAAGAAATCGTAAGTCAATTATGTATAATAATGTAACTTAAAATTACATTAATTGAATGATAACTGTAATCACTGATTACTAATTTCCCTATTTGTTTTTTTTTACAATTGTCTTAATTTTGGGAACAAATATACGCAGCTTTATCGTTATTCTGTGGTTTTTTTATTTGAATTGTGCTGGGAAATATAATATTGCATGCAATATTTAGGCAAGAAAGGCGAACTAAATGAGAAAAAAAGTACCAAAAGCATATGATATCGAGGACGCTATCCTTATATTTTTATGTATTATGTTTTCCACAACCTTCAGTACCATTTTATAGCGGTTAAAATTATATTTTTATTTATTTTGTTTTCCACAACATACAGTACCATTTTATAGCGGTTAAAATTATATTTTTATTTATTTTGTTTTCCACAACCTTCAGTACCATTTTATAGCAGATAAAATTAATGACGTTGAGGAATTATAACAAGTATTTTTTAACCACAAAGGCTAAAATATCATTGTTTTTGTCAGTTTTACACTAATTTTAGTGCTTCCCACTTAACATTGTTGGTTTGTTAATAGAAAAAAAAATGTAAATCGTGTACATTGAAGAATATATTATCGTAACAAACAATTGTAATATCCTTATGTTTTTCTTCTATTAAAGGTCATATTCGTTTATTATTTGACCTCAAATAAACAATGTTTCTCAGAGTTCCAATACTATTTCTATTATATTTGTTGAAATAATAATAAATCAGTTGTTAAGGGTAGCTGCTAATGAAAAGTTTATAAATTAAAAAAATTCTTAAAATAAATTCTGTTTAGACTGTAAAGCAGTAACATGTTTTATAGAAAATGTAGTTTTGATTTCCATTAAAAGTGCTCCTGAAATTAATTATCTTTTAAGAAATACTTTCGCTTCTTTCGTGAAAATGTCAGATGAAAAGTATATAATAAAGGGAGGGATTCATAAAGTTGTTTTCCTGGTCCCAAACAGATGGCGTATGGATAATAAACAGTCCCAAAGCCCTGATTTCTGGCCAGAACACCGTATTTTATAAAATAATTAATTGTTTAATTACAGTTAAATGTAGAAACGTTTCTGTATTTACTGATTCAATATAAAAAGCTACTTATGAGTAAAGTTGCCTTTCCGTTCAAAATTATCTTTTTTGATTAAGCTATTAAATAAAGTTGTTCAACTATGCTATTTTCCTAGCCTGTAGTTATCTATTCGTTCTAAATAAATGTCCATCATCTGCAGACCAAAGGACTTCTGTTCATTTCATTGTTAATAACTGCATAACTAAAGAACGGACAATCTTGCAAACCTCGATTTTTACGTTTATAAGGTTTTCAGGCTTATCGCTGAACCACCTAGAGTCGCTGTGTTAGATATAATCTAACCTATATGTATATCCAAAACCTAATAAAAGACTCTACTCAAATTCTACGAAGAGATTGGTGGGAATATATTGTAGGCTTGGCCAATTTTCAGCCACGTCCATATGAATAGAGAAGCGAGAAATACAAGTGTTTCTAATGGCAACATCTCTTAGAGTATACGAGACGATTAAGTTCTGTTAAATCTGTTAATGCTTCTCAGTGCTATATTTGATATAATATGTTTCTTTGAGTTTATATATATATTGCTGTTTATTTAAAACAAATAGATAAAACCACACACACACATAAAAGCATAAATACCGGTTTCTTATCTTACAGGATACTCTTCAGTTTCTATAATAAGGCTCTCTCTAACAAGACCTACTTAACAATGTAAAACCTCCCACGTTTGTTTTTTGTTGTTTTTTTACCTTAAAGCTATATATATATATATATATATATATATATATATGTATATATATTAAATACCTTCTATGTC